TTCGAACCGGTAGTGACCCCCCCCGGTTTTACGCCAGCAGCGGTAGAACACGCTCTTTCATATATATATATATATATATGTATGTATGCAAGTATGTATGTGTGAGTGTATACATATTTATGTACAGTTATTCATCGACATTGCACAACATTTGACGCTGCTCCACATAGCTTGCACGCCGTGCATTGCTAGAGACACTCGGTTCGGGGTCCACGCTGGCTAACATTTGCCACATAGCAGCACTTGATGCATCAACAGTTGAGCTGTGTAGGGCTGCTGGCCAGCATTCGTGAAGCAAACGCTGGGGCGATGTGGTCAGTTCGCCGAAGGCACCTGATACAAGCCGAGAGGGTTCCAATATTCTGTGCCCTGCTTTTGCGGACACTTCTGATTTTAGCGGATCACTTTGCTTCTGAGCTCGCCTCGAAGCACCCAATCTTATGCACGGTTCTCCACGTAGCCGAAGATGAGAAGCTTTTTGTGCGCTGTCTATCGTTGTGGCTGGGATCTCGGAGCTCGAAGCTCGAGTCAGACGCAAGGCCCTCTGGCGGCGTCCCTGGCGCCGCCCCTGGCGCGCAAAGCGCTCCAGGGAGGTGGGTCCAGCGCGGATCAAAGAAATCCACGCGGAGCGCCAAACATTTCCGTTCATGGCGTTTCTGCTTCTTCTTCTTCTTCTTCTTCTTCTTCCTCTTCTAATAGGGAGGTAGGGTTAAGTCGGGCATGTTCCTCCACAGGGAACTATTTGTCGAATCTGTTTTTTTTTGATGTTGGTTGAAGTATATTCTGACTATTCTTCATTAGTCTTCAGAAATCCGCCTGTAGGAGGCCATGTCCGACTCAAGGGTAGGGGGTAGGGGGGAAGGCTTCTCAGAAACACCTGGCCGGCGCCTCCTGCGACGCAGCCTCCTTCTTTCCTAAGAAGCCTTCCGTTCTCCCCCCACTTCCTTTGTGCGCGGCGCAAACTACGGGCCCTACCCGGCGAGGCCGTGGACACGGTTTCGGACACGGGCAAGTTTTCCGGCAGCGACCGCTCCTCGAGATTCGAGGATCGAGTTTGGGAGGTTTTTCGTTTCTCTCTCGGAGGCGGAAAAGGTACCATACTGGTGCCTTTCCGTCATTTCCGCCGTCTTGGGCCTTTCGGAGACCCTTGTCGCCACCGCCGGAGTCGCCTCGAAATTCTGATCAGAACGAACCCCGGGAGAGATTTGGGGAGTAGCCGTATTGGTACCTTTTGGTCTCCTTCCAGGGGGCTCCTCGTCGCAACACGCCATGCTTGCTTCGAAGTCCTGGCTAGAAGGCGCCCTATGGCATAGATCTTGGGATCGGCTTTTGACCTCATGCGCTTGGGAAGACAGCGACGCAGCGCCTGAGCCTGCCCAAGGCGTGGTTCCCGCGGCGCCCTTCTGGTTTCAGAGCCCCCTGGAGGGGCGGTGGCTCCTGCGGGGCCTTCGTAATGCCAGCCTGGAAACCATTTTGACGCCACACCGCCACTTCGGGAACCACGGCTGCTGTCGCTTACAGTCAACTCGCATGGTAAGGATGGGCAACCTTCCCAAGGGTATCCTTGCATCCTTTCCCCTTCGGCCCATCCTTAGCGACTTTCGCTGGCCAACGTTGTTTTAAAGACGTTACCATGGCCCTCCAAGGCCCTTGCATCCTTACCGCGCATCCATATGATACGGGCCGGCTGTATCGTGACCCGCGCAGCAAGTCGCCGTTCTGCCACGCCTGCTGGCGCCCACCTCCTCCTCTTCTTCCTCCTCCTCCTCCTCCGCCTCCTTCCGCATGAAGACCTGGTCAGCTCCCCGCCAGGCGTTTTTCCGCAATCGGGGAAGCATGCGAGACCTTCTGAGAGTTATCGGTTAAACTCTCACCACTTTTGAAGACCTGGTCAGCTCCCCGCCAGGCGTTTTCCGCAATCGGGGAAGCATGCGAGACCTTCTGAGAGTTATCGGTAAAACTCTCAGCATTCGTGAAAAACAGTTGGTGAGGCTTTGGGTTGGGATGGAGATGGCATCGATGCCCCCATGCAGAAACATTGGAGTCTTCAGGATGTGATGCTTGCATTGTATGTTATCTGCCGTATTTTTACGGCTCAAGTTCTTGGGTCACACGTGATCGATGCACCATTTTGTTGTGCGAGCTGGCACCGAGCTCGTGCGAGGCATCTCCACCGCACGCATCGTCCGCGGCGGATCCCAGCAGTGCCCTGCGTTCGAACCTCATCTGGCGTGTGGCGTTTGCCCCGTGTGCGAGTGTCCAGCTTGTCCCGACTGCTCGCCCCACCTCCAGTGCCCGAGCTTGGAGTTCTCGCCGAATAAGCGCCTTCCACCAGGAGGGCATCTCGCTGATCGTGTTGCTGGGCTGCCTGCTGGTGGCCATGTGCGGCGGGTACCTCGCGTGGCGGTGCGGGATGCCCCTCTGCTTCCCTCCGCCAGCCGCAGGCGGCGACTCCCTGCTGAAGGCGACGCCAGGCCCCAGCGGCCCACCGCCCGCTAAGCTGCCCGCCGCGGCTGCAGCGCTGGAGGACGTGCAGGAGGAGGCGCGGCGCCAGGCTAGGGTTGCCGCCGCGGCAGCTCAGGCCCGCCGCTGAGCCTGATGGCTCACCCCGTGTCGGCTGCCTTTGGGGTCGCTGCTGGCGATTTTGTGTACGTGCGGTACAACTACGCCCAGCGGCTGTGGCACGAGCGCTTCATCGCGCACCTAGTCCCGAACGCTGGACATCTGGTGGGGATCGTTACGCGTGACGGCGACGAGTACGACGAGGACTTCTCAGGTCCAGACACAGGAAGTTCGAGTGGGAGCAGGCGGCGGAGCTGGGGCTGCGCTTCCTGGAGTGGGGGCCGACCCGCTCTACAAGTTCCGAGCGGTCCCTACGCCGGCGACCGGGGCGGCGGCCCGCGCCGCGGCGTGTGGGCGCGACGGGGCAGCGCCGCCGCATGAGCAGCTCGTGCCCAACGTCGGTGGGCGCGCTGGGCTTGCTGGAGTCCCTGCAATGGCCGCGGCTCCCGCTGCAGGAGGCGCCGCCAGAGCGCTGGGCGCTGCTGCTGCTGCTGCTGCTGCTGCTGCTGCTGGTCCTGGAGCATCTGGCGGAGCCGTAGGCGGAGCTGGTGCGCTCTTGCCAGCGGCTGGGCTTGGCGGGCGGGTTGGTGGCAGCTCTCGGAGATGGCGGTCCCGCCCCTCCGGCTGGTGTCCTTGCTGCCGCCGCCAGCCCGCTGGTGGCTGCGCCGCCCCCGCGCCTGCCGCCGCGGACGGCGGTGGAGTGGGCGCGGGCGCGCTGGCCGCCCCACCTGGCGCCGCAGGGGTTCCTGCTGCCCCCCCTGCTGCCGCCGCGCCCGCCGCCCTGGCTTCGCCAGGAGCGGGCGGTGCGCTTGGGGTGGCCGTCCCGGCCGGCGCTGCTGGCGTCGGCTACTTCGACCTCCGCGTGCTGCTGGTGCAGTGCGATCTGCTGGGCGACAGGCTGCTGCCGTTCGATCGGGCGGTGCAGTCGTTCCGCGAGGACCTGTTCGCGGACTGGCCAATCAAGGGCCCTCGCTCGTGCTTCTGGGTCTGCCGGTACATCGCGCAGAACGGAGGCTCGCCGACAGGACGGCGCGCGCGCTGGAAGCACGACACGAAGCACCTGTCGCAGGACGCCAGGGTGTCAGAGCACGCGCGCTGCTGCCAACAGCTCGAGACGATGGCATGCCACGACCAGATCAACCTCCCCAACAGCGCCACCGCTGAACACCTGGCTCGGTCGCTGCAGGTGCAGGAGGAGCGGTGGCGCGAGCGGTTGAGCGGTCACAAGGAGGACTCCGTCGGTGACGTTCGCCTGTTCTACGGAGTGGACCTCGTCCGAGCTGGGGCGCGCGCGTGCCCTGAGCTCACGGAGTGGGTTGCGAAAGAGGTCTCCCGCGAGCGCGCCTTGCTCGAGGAGCGCCGTAAAAGCAGAGAAAAACGAGAAGCGGCCCGCAAGGGCAATCATAAATATGACGCATGATCCTGAGCGCGGCCAGGTGCATCGGAGGGGGTGCCCCGGGCTGCATTCTCGGGGGGGGGCTCAGCGCCTCCCCTACCCCTCCATATTTCTCTTCCTCTCAGGTTGCGCCGCCGAGGGTTGACCGACAGAGGGATGCGTTTCCGCTGCCGCCGCTTGATCGCTGCTCGCCCGCCGCTTGCGCGCCTGATGTGCGTCGCGCAGTGAAGCAGAGGGTGCACCGCCGTGCGCGCGCGATGGACTGGGCGGATGGGGCCATCCGCAGTTTGAACCATCTGTATGGGCACGATAGTCCTCCTGGCCTCGCCTCGCCCCCTCTCAACTCATCCCAGCGCTTCGCGCGCCAGGTCGTTCTCGATTGTTTCAGGCAGGCGGGCGCCCAGCCGGCCGGTTTGAGTCGCAACGAAGCCCTCCGCGAGCTTCTTGCTGGGTCGGCCATCTATCCTGACAGCTCCACCCGCAAGCCTTGTGCACGCCACTTCGTGACATGGCCGGAGGTCGGGTCCCAGCCCGCGCCCGTAGAATCGCGTCTGTCGTCGGTCGATCGTGAATGGCCGAGGTCCTGGCGTGATAATTTGCTTTTGCCAGCTGATGTAGCAGAGAAGCAGCGCCACTCACTCGGCATGAGTGGTCCGCATGTTGATCCTGCCTTGCGTTCTCCTGCTCGCTATCGAGACTTTTTGCATCAACTCCACCAGTGTGGGATGTTGTCTTGGCGTCGTGAGACCCCCCACCCCAGTCTGGGCTTCTTGGAGTTTTTTTTGCGGCGAAGCGGAACGGCCAACTTCGCATTATTTTCGACGCCCGTGTTTGTAATTGGCATTTTTCAGAAGCGGCCTCGACTCGGCTGCCCGCGCTTTCGTCGGAGGTTGATCGACCTCCCGCCCTGGTACGTCGATTAGCGAATTGGCCGTTCTCGGTTTGCGAGAGGGCGTCGCGGCCGTCATTGTTGCGGGTCCAGGTCCGTCGGTTTCGGTCGTAGGCCTTTTTAAGTAAAGGGAGGTTTACTAGAGGGAGGTGTGCCCACCGCCGGCTTCGGCCTTCTCGGGATTCGAGATTGGGTCCGAGGGCGCCTTTACCGCTTGGAGATTTAAGTTGTGCGTTTTATCACCTCGGCATCCCTGAGGGCCTCGAAGAGTATTTTAGTTTCCCGTCAATCTCCTGTGACCTGGTTGGGGTCCGTGCGATCGGTGGTGAGGTGCTCGCAGCTGGCGCTCCCGTCTCTCCGTGCTTTGTCGTTCTGCCGATGGGCTGGAGCTGGGCGATGCATCTGTGCCAGGCAGTTGTGTTGTGAGGCAGTCTCTTCGTGACGTCGGGGCCAAGACAACCAGGTGATTGAGGGCGGTCAGATGCCGCCCAAGCTGGGCGCGCCCGCCGCTGTTGCTGCCGCCGCCAATGTCGACTATTTCTTCGTCTCCTCGCCGTGTGGGGGTGCCGCGAACCGGGCCGACCGCGCCGTCGTCGATGATCTTCAGGGGAAGGGTCTCGTCGCGCATGAAGTCTCGGAGGCGTCAAGAGATGGACTTGGTGGGGCTTGCTCTGTCGGCTGGGCGTTTCGTGAGCTTGAAGAAAATTTTTATCTGGAGGCTGAGGCTAGGGATTGATGCTCTCCTTCGTCGGGGAAGGGCTACTGGCAAGAGGATGCAGTGCACCTTGGGCCATGTAATTTGGGCCGCCTTGCTGCGCCGAGAGAGCGCGTGTTGTGCGTTCGTAAACGAGAACATTCAATCCACAAATCACCGCCCTCTTTGGCCTCGTGTTCGGCAGGAGCTCTGGCGTGTGCGCGACCTTCTGCCCGTGTGCCGCGTGGATTGGCTGGCTCAGTGGTCGCCGACAGTGCACTGCAGCGATGTTTCGCCTTTCGGGCTCGCCGTCTGCCGGCGCCGAGTATCTTCTTCGTCCGCCGGGGAGGTTGGCCAGTGCAGCGAACGCTGGCGCTATCGTGTCGCTGGCGCCAAGAAAGCTCGCCAGTCCGCTTTGGGGTCACCTCCTTTGCCATCAAGGTCGGCTGGCTTCGCCGAGTCCTCCGAGCACTCGCCCGCGCGCGTGCGCGACTCGTGCGCTGGTCTGGGGGGCGCGGACTTGTTGTCTTACATAAAGGTCAAGTCGGCTGTCTTTGGGGGGGGTGCCCGAGGAACTCCTGGAGGCCTCCAAGTGGGATGCCGTTGTGGCTTTTCAAGTGGTGGCTCCTGGAAATATATTGGGGCTTGAGCGTGATGCTGCCGTTCTAGCCGTCCGTCATGCACTTCGCGCGTCTTCAAATCTTGGGTCTAAAATCGTTCTCATTGTGGACGACCTACTGCTGTGTCTTAGGCGTTGTATGGGTCGGGCCAAGCCAATGCATCTACGCCTTGCCCTCCGTGAAGTTTGCAGTCTCGCTCTGGTAACTGGTGCCCGTGTGGCTGCAGGATGGCGCCCCGCCGAGTTAAATCCGTCCGATGGGGGGTCCCGCGGTCAGTTGGGCTGGTTCAGTGGTCCTTCGAAGCGCCCCGCCAGGCCTTCCGTGCATTGCTCTGTGGTGGCTCAGGCGGGCTCGGTTCGCCCTTCTACAACTTGTGTGTGACATCCTTTCCTGCTGCGCAGATCTCGACGATTCTGGAGATGGCGCCGTGCAGACGCAAGCCGAGCGGGCGAAGAGGGCTCGCGGCACTGCCGCCTGCCGGCCCGCCTTCAGCCCCCTTTCGGTGCTGGAGAGGAGCGCCGTGAAGCCTGCCGCCGAGAGGGAGTTCCGCAACCTGCTGGCGGACTTCGTCCAGTTCTGCCAGTCGCAAGGATTGACCTGGACCGACCTCCAGGGCTTGGGCGTGGCGCTCGCGGAGTGCCAGAACTACCTGTACCTCGAGGGCCGCCCGGGCGCCG